CTTTTTTGGTGGCAGCCATCATTGTTGTTTGGCGGGCCCGGGCTGGGGATTCGAACCCGCCACCTTAGGTGTATGTGGCTGGCGCCTAGCCGCTTGAGCCACAGGCGCCGAGCCATCTTTCCTGCTTCTTGCCCTCCTTTTTGAATCCATTCTTGCCCTACCCCATCAACAGTATCAACTGTCAACTCCTCATGCTCCCCAATACATGAGCCCCCGGTTTCTTCAGGCTTATTTCCCACCACTCACTGCTGAGAGCACCAGCTGTCCACCCTCCTGCATGTGCCATGCCCCCCAACTCCCAGTGTGCCACTTCCTCACTGCTGCTGGGACCATTTTCTCCCTGTCCCCAGGCACCTCCCCTTCATCCTTCCACTGCTGCTCCTCACACTTTCTCCTCTACTCCAGAGCATGACAAGTGCAGCAAGTGCCTCTGTCCAAGCCGCCTCACTCTGACCCCAAATTCTAAGCAGGTTGTTCTTGTCGTACTCATCTCTGAAACCACCTGACTGCATGAGCTATCTTTACTATTTGTTCTAAGCATGGTTAGACTCTTCTGTTTTCCTGACAGCAGTTACCTAGATCACACCACTTATATCTCAGAGATGAAAGAATTACAAATCTCCTCCAACTTCTGTCTCTGCCAACAAGGTTGACAGCACTGCCTGCACCACTGAGCCCAGCGAAGTATATGGCTACTGGTGAAGTCACAGGGTCCACAGAGTGCAGGTTTGATGAAAACATGTTTTAAAAAATAAATGTATCGGGTGGCACCTGTGGTTCAAGGAGTAGGGCGCTGGCCCCATATACTGGAAATGGTGGGTTCAAACCTAGCTCCAGCCAAAAACTGGAAAAAAAAAAAAAGTATTGCCTGTAATCCTAGCTTTCTGGGAGGGTGAGGCGGGTGGACTGCTAGAGCTCACAAGTTTGAGAACCCCCTGAGCAAAAGCGAGACCCTGTCTCTCCTAAAAATAGAAAAAACTGAGGCAAGAGGAACGCTTGATCCAGAGTTGAAGGTTGCTATGAGCTATGACACCACAGCACGCTACCCAGGGCAATAGCTTGAGACTGTGTCTCAAAAATAAATAAATAAATAAATAAAATGCATGAATGAATTAAAAAGCAAGCAAACTTCATAACTTCTTTAACCTGATATAGCTGACCACTTGAAAATAAAAACCAAATGGAAAATGGCATCTTTTTGCTTTACAGAAGAACAAAAGAAAAGAATATCAAAAAGCGTAATAATCAATTTGGATTGAGTTAAATTTACCTTTCCCTAAGGCCTTAGAAGCTATACATCCTGTTAAATCTCTTGTGAACAAGTGATACGGTTTCAATCTCAAGATTCTATATGCTGTGTCACTCACTGTCTCTCTCCTTGGAATAGTCTTGCCACAGATACCAAACCCCACTGGCTGCCCATCTCTCATAGGGGAATAAGCACTCCTCAGCAGCCTGCACATCTGTACTCATCTTACCCTTTGCTTTCTTTTCTTTTTTTGAGATAGAGTTTCACTATGTCACCCTGGGTAGAGTGCTCTGACGTCACAGCTCACAGTAACCTTAACTCTTGGGCTTAAGCGATTCTCTTGCCTCAGCTTCCCAGGTAGCTGGGACTATAGGTACCCACAACAACGCCTGGCTATTTTTTTCTTGCAGTTGTCATGACTGTTTAGCTGCCCGGGCTGGACTCCAACCCGCCAGCCTTGGTGTATGTGGCTGGCACCCTACTCACTGAGCTACGGGCACCAAGCCTGCTTTGTTTTCTAAAATTTTAACTTTCCATTCTCTTGGAGTGCACCATTCCCTCGTAATGTTACTCTATTTCACTGCATTTTGTAAGTAATCTCCAACCAGCCCTTTTTGATATAGGATTAAGAACAATTAATAGAGATTAGACCCTCTAAGAATCTGATGGTGAATTTCCCACAAAAGCATTTGGATTTTGCCTATTCTCCTTGGTGACACAAACTTCAATTGAGACAAAAGGGACTTAATACTTCACTTTAGGAGCATCAGAGAAATGGGGGGGAAAATCACATGTGCTCACTTTTAAACTGGAACTAAGTGATTCACACACACGAATATACATGGCAGAAATCAACAGAATCAGCAGGTAGGAGGAGGGGCATGAGTAAACGGGTACAAGCATACCGTCTGGGGGACAGACACAATTATAACCTCAACTCAAACTGTACAAAGTAACACATGTAACCAAAATGTTCGTACCCATATAACATTCTGAAATTTAAAAAGAAAGTAAGCCAAACCTTACCTTTCAACCTCCCTGTTGCACTCTTCAGAAACACACTCCCATCTCGCACAAGCTTCTTCCGTTTCAAATCCTCCTTGGCAAACATCTGACCACTCTTCATCCTCATGATCGACTTGCTGTCTGTCTTCATGTAAATCTCATTGAGACGTACTTTCTTTTCGTAACTTGCCACTTTGCTGTCCACAGCTCCAATCACATCCTTCACCAGGCTCAATGACTGTGCCAGGTCGTCCTGCTCCGCTTCATTGTCTTGGAAGGAAAGGACAACTATGATTATCGGCTCCTTTCAGACAAGGGCAGATAGAAGGGGAGGGAGTCCTGCTTTCTCGCTCCACAGTGTCCTTCTCCCATTGTGGTTATGCTGTCAGAGGGAAGCCAGCACATCAGAGGTCATGTACCCAATCCGACTGCTGTCCAAATTTAATTCTAAAGAAAGTTACAAGTTTCCAACAATAAAAAATACACAATTATATGCTACATTTTAAAATAAAAGGAACTAAATATTTTTAAGAAGGGGGAATAATAGAGAGAGGAATAAGTTTTATTTAAGTCCTCGGTTTGCTAATCTTTAATGTACTGCTTTGTAATCTTTAACTGTCTAGGAGTGGGATTAGCTGAGAGAAAAACCAGTAAGAAATGATTAAATGAGAAGCAGCAGCAATTGTGGCATTTCTGGGAAGAACTGGTGGGCTTTATCACCCAGTTTAGCGATAAGGGAGAAATAAGTCGTTGAGGTCATTGAACTCTTTTTTTTTTTTTTTGAGACAGAGCCTCAAGCTGTCCCCCTGGGTAGAGTGCCGTGGCTTCACTGCTCACAGCAACCTCCAACTCCTGGGCTCAAGCGAGTCTCCTGCCTCAGCCTCCCAAGCAGCTGGGACCACAGGCGCCCGCCACAGCGCCTGGCTATTTTTTGGTTGCAGCCATTATTGTTGTGTGGTGGGCCCGGGCTGGATTCTAACCCGCCACCTTAGGTGTCTGTGGCTGGCGCCTTAGCCACTTGAGCCACAGACGCCGAGCCAAGGTCACTGAACTCTTGAAGGAATCAGTGGGTGTCCCTTTCCTTCTCGCTGTCATCTACAACTACCTAACAGTCCACATTTTCACTCAAGAAAATTATTTTCATGACAAAACACAAAAATCTCTATTAGACCTGTGAGAGCAGGAACTAGCTCTTCTATGCCGTCTCTAGTGGACACAGGCCAACAGTCCACTGGCACATGGTACGTAGTTATAAAGGAGGCTCACCTTTGGTACACTGCAATATTCTCTGGAATAAAACCGGGTACTTGGTGATCCTCTGGGTTACAAGTAATATGCACTCGGGGATTCCAAGCCTCCTTACAACTGAACTGCTCATCTTCTTCTGCAAGGGAGCAAACAAATTGTTAGCAACTATATAAAGGTGGCACTGGCACCTCGAGCTAATACCAATAGTGACACATAACTCTTGACAATGACCAGGATTTTCATGGTTCACATCAATACCTTCACAAAGGCTTGAAAACGCTTATCCTTGGTATAAAGGTCTTTGAAGTAGTTTACAGACTGGTTGTGTTGCCCACAAAACTTGCCATACGTCTTCTTTAAGCGTTCTGCATTCTCACCTGAAAACTGCAGAGAAAAGGGAACAGAAGTTATGCCACAACTCAGCACACTGAACTCATAATGCTACTTTGTAAAAAGTTTCCACTCTATTTGTACAAGCCAAGAGTACATCCTTATAAATCCTCCCCCCAAATTTAAATGGTGCCCCAGCTTTGGAAAACAGTCTGGCAGTCGCTCAAAAGGTTAAGAGCAGACTTACCACATGAACTAACAATTCCACGCCTGGATATGCACCCAAGGGAAATGAAAATGTGTTTGCACAAAAAGCTGTAGGCAGATGTTCATAGCAACACTATTCCTAATAGCCCCCCAAAGAAATGACCTGAATGTCCACCAATGAGTAAATGGAACAGGCATATTCATACAATGGGATACTATTTAGCTACAAAAAAGGAATGAGGTACATGCTACAATGTCAATAACTTTCAAAAGCATCATGCTAAGCAAAAAAAAAAAAAAAAAGAAACAAGCAAAAATCCCCACTTGCAAAGACCAAACACTGTTTTAGTCCATCTATACAAAATGTCTAGAACAGGCAAATCCAGAGAGACATAAAGCTTTGTTTGGCTGGGGCAGCTGGGGCAGTGAGCACATGTGTAGTGGGGAGTGAAGACTGACTACTACGGGGCCTGGGGTAACAAAAATGCTCTAAAATCGACTCATTTAGCGGTGATGGCTGCACAACTGTGAATATACTAAAATCCATTTAATTGTACACTGATTGGGTGGACTGTATGGCATATAAATTAAATATCAATAAAAATGTATGTATTTAAAAAAATTTCATAAGTACCTACGTACTATGAACATAAGAAATGCAGAGTGTGTTCTAATTTCCATTTGGCATGAATAGTAATAAACCAAGGAAATTCACTAGAAGTTTTCCATGAGATACTTGGCCTTAAAAATTTGACTTTGATAATAAAAACCAGCCATCATTACCTAGGAAATAGCAGGCCAGCAGTCCTAACAAGTCTACACAGTCCTTAAATCATTCCCAAAGTGTACAATCTCAGCAGTTCACCTGAAGATGTGATACTTGGAGAATGAATGAATGTGCTAATGAAGTCATGAAGTGAGGGGTATAGGCTCAGGAATACAAGGGAAGGACAAAATTCCCTATTCTCAAAGAAATGGTGTGGAGAGAAATGGTCCTCTCCACAGAAGCAGAGATTTGCTGGGGGAAAAAAGATTTGATCAGACGAGCATGTTATGCCCCCCACCTGTTAAGGTTATACCATGAACAGTTTGAGCAAGAACATTTTTAAAAGAAACATTACCAGCTGTCTGTGACAAACACATCTGAAAGTCTTAAAATAATTTTTAACTGTATCTTTTGGAGTGAGGTTAAAACCATACACCACCTTGAAAGTATCAATGATACATACTTTCTGAACTGCTTACAGATACTCATTGCATTTTCCATGCTTCTGCTGGTTTTTAGATAAATGAGATCCTTCTTATTTGAGGCAGAGGGGAAAGTTGAAGGCTTCCAATAAATATTTTTTAATTTCTTAACCGACACTATTTCTGATAACAGTATAGACTCTGAGTAAAAAAAACTTTCAGCACGAATCTGCCACACGTCGCGTACTTTATAAACACCTTCCCTTTAACTTTCTAAAACAGTATTAAGAGAGAAACCCTACTATCCTAATTTTATAGAAAAGGAAATTGAGGCTCAGAGAGATTAGCTTCACTTTCCTCCCCACTGCACACTGCATGTGAGCACCTGAGACCCTGCCCACTGCTCACCTGATTCACAAGCACATACCTGATTCACAAGCACATCCCCGATCCTCTTGATGAGAAAGTTCTTTTCATTCTTATCCACCAGAGACTCCTTCTTCCGCTCCAGGATCCGCTGGAAGAACTGACTGTGTATACTGATCAGCTCATCAAGACAGGGAAACAGCTTTTCCACCATCTGTTGCTCGAAGAGCAGATCTGTCATCATCCCTCGGCTGTAAACGTCACTCATGATCTTGAGTGTACGGAGGTGGTGGAACTCTGTCTGCATCAACTCTAGAAGCAGGACAAAGATCAGGGATGATCAGAGATGCTCTGAGGATTCTCTTTTAAAGATCACCTGCTGCTATCAGAAAGCTAGCTTAGAGTCCAATTTAAACTTTAAAACTACTTAACAGTTATCTTTCCCCCAAAACTGTTCTTACCTTTTTCCTCTATTTTTCATGTGATCTAACACTACTTTCTGATGACAAGAATATTGGATTCTGTCAGTTCTTTTTTTTTTTTGAGACAGAGTCTCACCATTTCCCTAGGTAGAGTGCTGTGGCATCATCATAGCGCTTGCCCGAGCTCAGGTGATCCACCTGCCTCAGCTTCCCAGAGTGCTGGGATTACAGGCGTGAGCCACGACACCCGGCCTCTACCAGTCTTATAGTGATTTCCAAGGAGGTCTGTGCAGGATTCAGTGCCTCTCATAATGGACTGTGCTCCTCATTTCTAGAAATGACTTTTGTTTAGTCTAGTTTCTAGCGGGGCTGAGGAACTAAATAAACTGTTCCTTTCACAAGAGATCTCTTTCTTAGGCCTGCTGTATAAATAAGCACTCAATATACTAATAAGAACGTATCTCTTATACCTTAACACTTTTAAAGAAAGTCTTTAAGAGGCCACATATGGAATAACTGATGATCCGCAGCTTGACAAATGCTAGACAACGGAAATCCAATTTAAGAGCAAAATGAAGAATCTCACCATAAATCACCTCTTGCCGTTTGACCACATCTTTCTTCTGCTGTTTCAGAAACTTGCTGTCCACTATCCGACTCCAGGACTCTGCTTCCAGCTGCTTGGAATCAATCTCAAAGTCTCCCATTAGCTGTCCTTCATTCATGTCTGTACCTACTCCTCAAAATATCAAAAAATCATTATCAGAATCTTGGGCCTGTGACCTCTAAAAAGCCTATGCTGGGCTGTCCTCAGGGTGTTGGCGGATTTTGTTAAGACACAAACATGCTGCACTGATATATGAGATATTCATGGAGAGGACGATCTAGGACGAGGAAGGAACCAATGGTCTGTTTGGGAAGGACAGGGTCTATATTCAAGACCTTGGTTAAGAGTGATGAACATCACATAAACATAATTAAGACACGACTCCTACACGAAATAGGAACCGGAAGGGATCTGGTGTCTTTATGTGTTTAAGAGAACAGGCTTCCAAGTGTGCCAAAACAGCTAGCACTGAATGTGTGCAAAGGTCTAGGGGAAGAAAAAGCATTTATACTGAAGATATGCCTACATTAAAATTAATGACATCCTTCAACAGACAGCTGATAATAGGGTAAGTCTGATTACCAGTTCATTACCAAGCATGAGGCTTCACAGACAACCTGGAGAGCTTCCACAAGGAGGCACGCCCTATTATTCCAGTAACACTTGTATTCTAGGTAACGTGGGTGCACAGTCTTTACAGTGGCATACAACTTAGGCCATAACTACTTCTTACCCTCATCAGTAAGTGATTCTGTTGATTCATTGACTTTGCTGATTTTATTTAGTGAATCTGTTGAATGAGATAGGAATTTCCAGGTGTTTGACATGTTCTCATCGCTGCCAACTCTGGGGACAGAAAGAAATACATACTGTCAAATACATTCTGATAAGCCAGGGCTTGCATTAAACGAGTACTTAAAAAACTCTAAACTGACAGGGGGCTGGAAGCACTCCAGGGTCTAAAGACAGAGTACTTAACAGGTTCACAGCCACATACAACACTAACTTACTGAGGCATTAACATCAATGGAAGCATTTAACATCCAGGTGAACTCAAAACTTTTTGAATCTTTTGAGTCCCTTAAAAAAAAAAGATTATGAAGAAAGGAGAACTTCCCCCCTTCAACCATTTACACATGACCTCAAAAATTTCTCTGCTCAAAACTGATTGTCCAACCACTACACTCACCCCGACCCCATTCTCCAAGTGATTCTACATTCAGCATTCACATAATAAATTATATTCTTTGGACATTCTCAACCCCAAATCACTAGCTAGTAGAATAGGCACAAGTGTTTGACACAAGAGTCCTTTAAAACCTTAAATTTAATTTAAAGATCAATTTTTCAAAGTCATAATGCCAATAAAACTTTAGTAACATTACAACTGTGAAAAGAAAGCTTTTAAGAACAATGAAAACAAAAAGACAAAACAAAAATACCTGAAACTTTTTTTTTTTAAAGAGGAAAAAACATTACCTAGCAAAGAGGTTAGGAAACACAGACAAAGGGAGACTTTGCATCCTTTAGTTGTGAATTTTCCTTCAACCTAGGTTAAGAGACATGCAAGAGATGCTTTGAGTCCTACATTTCAGATGACTTATTTATGTGGTGGGAAGACCTGGCATCTTAGCCCCCAACAGACAATAACATCATAATCAACCCTGTGCTAACACCTAACAGCTAAGGCCTGGCCAGGACACCACAAAAGAAACTCACTGCAAGTGAGTGAGTGGGCACCCAGTGTAAGAAATGGCTCATAATGCACCTCCATGGTACTGACAAGGGTGAAGAGGCCAGGATGGAAAAGAGACTTAAAAAGATAAAACCAACAGGTTTATCTGAACAACAGAAACGTATAACATCTGGAAATAAGGGATTGCAACTACAAACTCAGAATCAAATCATCTTTTTTCCTATTCCTGCTTCTTATTTTGATCTAAAAATCATCTTTTTCATGTTCAGCTTCTTCAAAAGTGGGTCTGGTCATATACAAAAGCCTTGAGAGCAACCTCAGGAGATCCTTGTGGCAGAACGGCAGTCGTGACATGCATCAAAACACATTCCTCTTCCTCCTACTCTGCACCGCCCAACTGGGCACCAATCCATTGTACTGCACATTTATTTCTCAAAGAAGAATCTTTTTGCCATGATATGATTATTATGCTTTCATCAGCCTAGATATCAACTGTGCTATCTTTAAATCTCCACTTACCCAGTAATGTTCTGTATGGAGACACTTTTGGAGAGTGAGACACTCTGCTGGGACCGCCTATTAGCAAACATTGGGGTGGTGGTGGTTTCATCTGCCAGGAGGACTGCAGATCGAGGGCGCTCCTTTGGCTGAGAGGCTGCAAAGGAAAAGAGGACACTAATTAAACCATCACCTACCCACACCCTCCTAGTACTAACTCGTGTGACAAGTGCCAAAAAGAAACAAGGTGCTTTAAAACAGATTTGCTAGCACTCTGGGAGGCTGAGGCAGGTGGACTGCTTGAGCTCAGGAGTTCAAGACCAGCCTGAGCAAGAACAAGACCCCATCTCTACTAAAAATAGAAAACTGAAGAAAGAGGGTCGCTTTAGCCCAGGAGTTGGAGGTTGCTGTGAGCTATGATGATGCCACAACACTCTATTCAGGGTGACAGCATGAGATTCTGTCTCAAAAAATGAATAAATCAGACAGATTTGCCCTTGAAGTGTAAACTGGTACGGAAATCTATGGATGGTAGTCTGGCAGTAACTATTGAAATTGTAAATGGCTATAATCTTTGATCCGGGGATTTAACTTTCAGATTATGTTTATTTTACAAGATATACTTGTATGAATGATGCATATCCAAAGTTATTCAATGCAATTATTGTTAAGTAAAAGCAAAAGATTTGGAACGACATAAATGAGTACTGAAAGAAGACTGGTTAAAAGTTACAGTACATCAGATACGGGAATACGGCACAGCGTTTAAGAAAAGAGGATGCTGGCTCGGCGCCTGTGGCTCAACCGGCTAAGGCGCCAGCCACGTACACCTGAGGTGGCGGGTTCGAATCCACAGCCTGGACCCGCCAAACAACAATGATGGCTGCAGCCAAAAAATGGCCGGGCGTTGTGGCGGGCGCCTGTGGTCCCAGCTACTTGGGAGGCGGAGGCAGGAGACTCGCTTGAGCCCAGGAGTTGGAGGTTGCTGTGAGCGTGATGCCATGGCACTCTGCCCAGGGGGACAGCTTGAGGCTCTGTCTCCAAAAAAAAAAAAGAAAAGAGGATGCTCTCCATGTGTCAGCACAAATCTCCATGATGTATTAATGGGGGCAACAATCAAGGTGCAGAACAAAGCACACAACACCTTATTTTTTATGCTTAAAAGAAAAATTAAAAATCCAGGTTGATATTTGTTTTAATTCAATAAGGGAACTCCAAGAAAATAAACTCAAGAGTGACTACTTATGGGGTGGGATGGAAATGAAGCAATGTGGGCAAAAAATCACGTGAAAAAATTATGTATCTGAAAATTTAAACTAAAAATAAGATAGAATCTTAAGGATAAAAGGAATCTTAGAGATAACCAGTATTTATTTGGGAACTACCACTCACAAAACATTTGAAGTGATGGGTGGATATGAAATGCCCGGCCCTCCTTGTCCTCTGGGGCTGGGGCTGGGAGTCTGTGTATTTTACTACATAGTCAATGTAAGTGACTCTGTCTATCATTTGAAAGTGGAGATTTTGATAAATTCTTTTAATTTACAGAAGAAGAAAATGTGCCACTTGTTTATTGTCAAATAACTACACTTGGGCCTTGAACAACATGGGTATGAAATGCAGAGTCCACCTATCTGTGGCTTTGCTTCTGTCTTTGCAATCCTGAGACAGCAAGACCAGCCCTCCTCTTCCTCAGCCTACTCCGTGACAAGAATGAAGACTTATGATGATCCACTTCTACTTACTTAATAGTATTTTCTCCTCCTTAAAATTTTCTTTTTTCTATCTTAATAATGTGGTATATAACACATTTAAAATAGAAAATATGTATTAATTGTTTATGTTATCAGTAAGGTCAACAGTAGGCTATTAGTTTTGGGGAAATCAAAAGTTATATGCAGATTTTTTTACTGTGAGAGGGGCTCACATCCCAATCCCTGCATTGAATTTCAAGGGAATCTGACTGCATATTCCACATTTATCCTGAGTGGGATCAAAGGGAAAAACAGAGATCAAATTTTCTAATATATTCACACTGGCACTTGGGTAACAAATTACTTTTCCATGGTAACTGAGCTGTTGCCCCAGCCACAAGTTGCATTATCTGTCCATCCCCAGGAGGGTCAAGAGCTGAAGGAAATAAGACTGGGATGGCGGTTATGACTTCACAGTATCTCAGGATGTTTCTGACTTAACAATATTAAAGAAAATCATTAATTTCCATTTCAAATCTTATTTAGAAGAAGGTGACACAATAAAACACCAGAGACATGACACTCTACAATATGACCAGAGCCTTGTGTAGGAAGTACGCAGGACATGGGCCCCGCTCCCAAGTGCAGAAGAGAGACCGTGCTGAGGTGTAAAAGAGCTTGGAGCACATCTAAGTGCTTCAGAAGGAAGGTCACTGAGCGGATGAAGAAACCCTGGTCTTGAAGAATGGGAAGGCTGTAGAAAGGTGAGAAAGAAAAGAAGGTAATTCTGATGAGAAGAACTGTAAAAAGAAGGCAGGGTAATTATGAGTGTTAATAAAAAGGGGACGAAAAATATTTGCAGCTGCAAATAGTGGATATAAACAAGGGATTGGTGAAAAGGCTGGAGAAGCAAGGAAGTCATGTTATACAAAGCCTTAAAAAGTGATAAAGAATAACATCTGAAAGGCAACATAGGTAGATAAAAGCAACAGCTCTTCCTTGTTTGATATGCATCATCTCAGAGCCTTACTCTTGGTGGTGCTGACACCAGTGGCAGCTAGCAGCTGAGGAGTGCCTACTAAGTACTCTGTAAGTGTGATGTGATTCAAACGTGCCTACTACTCTGTGATCAGCCCCCATCACAGGGAGGTAATAGGGCACAGAGAGGTTCAATAATGTTCAGGGTTACACAGCTAGTGCCTACTAAGTACTCTGTAAGTGTGATGTGATTCAAACGTGCCTACTACTCTGTGATCAGCCCCCATCACAGGGAGGTAATAGGGCACAGAGAGGTTCAATAATGTTCAGGGTTACACAGCTAGTGCCTACTAAGTACTCTGTAAGTGTGATGTGATTCAAACGTGCCTACTACTCTGTGATCAGCCCCCATCACAGGGAGGTAATAGGGCACAGAATGGTTCAATAATGTTCAGGGTTACACAGCTATCAAGTGGTGGTGCTGGGACCCACATCTATACAAATTAAATTCATAACCTATATTCTTAACTACTACCTTGCCTCAGTGGGGTGATAGAGGAATAAGAATATTTATGAGGGGTCAGAGTTAATACAATACATAACAGGTATTTAAAAAGAAGAGAATGAGTGTCATTTTATCTGATGCGAAAGAAAAAAGGTTCTGAAACAAGAGATGTCACAGGGAAAAAAAGAGTTTAAGGAAGATTAGACCTGTAGAAGCTTTATTAGAAGGGTGAGCTCACAGCGTGAAGCAGGTGCCAATCTGGCAAAGCTCCTCTTCTACGCATCCACATGCAAAGATGGATGATAACCAGATTACACATGTCTCAAGGGAATTCAAAATCTTCTGTGGGAGTACAGACTAGTTAGTATAGCCATTCTGGAGCTATCTGGAAGTACTCAGAGAAATCTGGTAGAAAGCAGCAGTTCTCAAGCTTGAGTAGGCATCAGAAATCACATGGAGATCTATTAAACACAGACTGTTGGGCTCCACCCCAGTTTCTGATTCCGGTAGAGCCCAAGGATACACACTTTTAACTTTTAACTGGAAACTTTTACAAAACACTGCAGAAGTGGTGTCCAGTGGCTCAGGAGTCAGAGACCAGCCTGATTAAGAGTGGGACCCCCATCTCTACAAAAAATAGAAAAATAGCCAGGCGTCATAGCAGGTGCCTGTACTGCAGTCCCAGCTACTCAAGAGGCTGAGGCAGGAGGATCACTTAAGCCCAAAGAGTTTGAGGTTACTGTGAGCTATGATGATGTCATGGCATTCCACCCAGGGCAACAGAGTGAGAGAGACTCTGACTCTGACAAGCCTAACCCTAACCCTAACCAGAGGAGGGAGGGAGGGAGGGGAAAGGGTTGGATGGAGGAGGGAGGAAGGGGGGAGAGAGGAGGAAGGGGGAGGGAGGAGGAGGAAGGGAGGGAGGAGGAAGGGAGGAGGAAGGGAGGGAAGAACGGGGAAGAGGAGGGTAGAAGGGAGGAAGGGAAAAGAAAGGAGAGGAGAACACTGTGGATTCACTACTTGTTATTTATGGTAGTAGTTGGAAGCAATTTAAATATTCTACCGTTGGGGGGGAACTACATAATTAAAATGTGATACATGATACAGCAGTCTGAAAGAATAGCTTACAACATGCACAGACCTCAAAACACAGTATTAAGTGGAAAAAAAAGATTATAAGCCTAAGTCATATTATCTGATTTAAATTCAACACAAAATGACAATTTTTCCCCAAAGATACACAGATGTCTGAAGATAACAACAGATTAGAAGGAACAACAGTAAATTGCAGTATGAATGAAGAATTGAAAGGGAAAAGTATCAAGAAAAACCAAAGCGGAGTCTTGTACACACTAATGACAAGCCTGATGTGACTGGGAGATTATGATTTTCTTAATTTTGTGTACTGCTTCAGTTCCTTGGGGGAAAAAAAAAAATTGAACCATTTCTATAGCTTCACAGTTTATAAAGGAGTTTAACAAGCAAGATCATATTTGATTTGCACAACTACAAAGCACTCACAGCAAGCACTTGCGTTCTAAACTACTGAGAGGCACACAGGTTGATGTGCTTAAACACGCAGGGCAGAGGTGTTGCCCTGAGTCAAATACACACACTATTCTAGAAACTTGCAGAGAGGCAGCGGAATCTGCAGCATTAAACTGCAGTCTTCTCTAACTTTCCACAAAACAGCTATTCGAATTTGATTATAAATAATAAATGCACATTACTACAATATGGTTCAGTCCAGACTAGAAAGTCAGAAAGGGGATTCTGAGAAGGGGAGTGTGCTACTCACGCTTGTTCCTCATGATGACCGTGGGCAGTGACGATGTGTCGTGCGCCTGAAGGCTACCTTTGGGCTGCTAAGGAAAAAAAATAAGTTCATGAAGCCTGTATTGACAGCTCACCCTCTGTCAGGCTTCGAGAAGCCTGGAGGTGAAGAGAGGCTTCTTCCTTTCCTGCTGTTTTCTGCATGGCCCTCACCCTGCACCCCGGCGACGGCTGCCCGGTGCCATCCCGGTGCCCACCGGACGGCTGCCCAGTGCCATCCTCTAAACCTCCCAAGCCCACCTCCCATGCCACAGATGCCTGCCTTCTGCTATGGATGCCTCTCTTACATTCCTAGGCGCGGCATTCTTTCCCTTTGAGACTATTTACATATTGTACTTCCTGGGCAAAGCCATCCACTAGCTTCTTTCCTCTCCTCACCCCAGGCACTGCCTGGCACGGCACCCCCTTCTTCTCATTTATGGTAACTGCCTAGCTATCTTCCCCACCAGGTTGGTTCCTCAAAAGCAACATCTGTGCCTTTTTCATTTCTCTCTCTCCAGTGACTAGAATTTATAAGGTGCTCAATTCTTAGGCAAAATGCTAATTTTAGTTAAGACTTTGTAGCATATAATTAATTAATGAGATCAATTATTAAAGAGGGTATTTCCAATCTGAAACTGAATTCCCCTTTCAGGTTATATTCTTTCATACGGGAATGGTAGCTGTGTATCATTATTGCTCTGTAGTTACATTCACAACAGCAGTCAGTCTTACCCAAGATCACAAAGTCAAAAGACTGTAGGGTCAGGCAGGTAGTAATGACGGAAGTGAGCCGGGGCGGTGGCAGTGGGGAACTTCCCGTCTACAGGAGGAGGACCACTCAGCTCCAGCTGACCATCCTGCCACCCTTCCCTCCCACACTTACAGATCTATAGCCAGACACCATTCTAGGTGCTCGGACTCTTTAGTGGATCAAAGATGTCTGCCTTCAGATTGCTTGGCAACTTTGTAGTGTATATTCTAATAGGGGGAAGGTACTGACCATACTATGTAACATACATATACAAGGTGGCCATGAACTTTATAGCCACCTGAGATATAGACAATGAAGATGGTTAATACGGACTCTGAGAAGGTGGTAAGTACTACGGGAAAGGACAGCTGGATGAGCTCGGTGAGGAGACACCAATAGGCCCAGGGTTATGAGAACTTCCGATTTTTCACGAGAAATTAAGAAAACTAAGAAATGTGATTTTTAAATAACCGCATTAACTCAAATTTTAAAGAATATTCTATAAGCCAAACAAAACATATATCCATAGGCTGAATGAGACCTGGGGTGCAGAAGTTTGCCATCTTCACACAAGTTCATTCTCTCACACTTAGGTCCTAGGACCATTAGCATCATCTGAGAACTTACTAGAAATGCAAATCCTTGGACTTCACCCCAGAATCTGAAACTAAGAGCCCATAAGTTAATAATTAAGTTTAATAAGCTCCTGAGATAACTCTGACACACATTCCTGATTGAGAACATCACAACAAATAAACTTGTTTGGTTATTAATGAAGCACATAGTATGCTGGGCATCTGTGCAGATGGGGATGGAGAGTCCTCTCCTGACAAGGAGCAAAAAGACATTTACAGGTGTCTAGGACACTGAAAACCATACACGCTAGAAAGGTATGCCCCTAATTTATAATCTTTTTCTGAGGGCCACTGGCATGACGCCCAGAGCAGGTACCACCACACAATGGGCACTTCCTATTCTTACATCAGGTGATCAGAGATATCTATATGTACCTGTGGAGGAAAGTACTACCAGATGGGCCAGGGCTAAGCATGATGAACCCTACCCTCAGATTAAAACCTCCTAATAACACCTGCGGCCCTCATGGTCTCCAACGAGGACGTGTGTGAATAGCAGAGCATGTCTGCATCCTTGGTTAGAAAGAAAACCACTTCCACAGCAACACAATATTAAAGCCACAGAGAATGGCACCAAATGATTAAAATAAACAAAACCCACTATAACCTCAACTCTCCCAAATCCCGAGGATTTTAAATGTCTTACCTTCATTCTGATCTTTGCACAGGAGGCCAGACTTTCTCGGCAGCCTTTGTGGACAAAAGCACCGCAATCTGAAAATAAAGTAAAACCCAAGGTCATAATGACATGGCAAACGGACCCTAAACGCTGACTTTCCACTGCTGCTACAATGGAAATTCTAACAGGCTTTCCGTGCCTATGAATTTCAAAGGCATGTCACTCACAGTCCCCTTCTAGGGAACAGGCCTGTGATGTTATTTGGAAGAGATAATTTAATAAGAAATAGAAGCCTGGACCTTCTCAGACAGGAAGCTGAGAGGCTACCAAAACTGAAAGCGAAAGCGTCGGCCATCAATAAGTAAGCTTAAGTCACAAATAATTACAAGAAACCCCTAACAGGCTGTAATTAATCTCCGTATGAGTGCTAAGTGCCAAACAGGCAATCTGAAAATCTACCTGTTTAGAGATCTTTGAGACTGAGATCCTAACTCAGGAACCACCATTTTCCAAGGACACGATTTATCTCAATTCTTTTATTTCTCACTCCTTTGGCCTACAAGGACCACTGATATAAAAACCTAGCCCTCTGCACCTTAGCAGGGTCACTGTTAGCCCTTAGTGCTGCTATGAAGTAAAAAACTGGACCAGAGGACAGAGGTGGAGTAGAAACAAACAAGAGACTTGTCTGTGGGGACACCCAATGAGGAGACACTGTCCTGGGAAGGGGTCCCTCAGGATACCAACCACAGGTACCCTGCAGAGCTTCCAAGGCCACTCAGGGGGCATCGCCAGGCCCACGCTGAGTCAGGAGCTATAGGCCAAGATCTCTTCCAGCTCAGACATAAGGATGTGGGGTGGGAGGGGGACGCGCGTGAAGATGGGGAGGGTGTAGGTACCAGGAAGGAGACTGCCAAGACCCCAGACCCCAAAGGCTCTTTCCATTCCTCTGTAGCAGCTGCGCCTTCGGCACCCACCCGCCATCACAGTGTCCTGGGTTCTGTTAGCATTTCCTCCACAGCAGGGATCATTTGCCCACCACTCTATCTTCAATTTAGTCTCTCCAGCATGGTGCCTGGCTCATGGCACCTACTCAAGTGTGTAAAATGCCCTGGCACAATCTTGATGATGGTATGAGAAAGTACTGGCTTTTTTTTTTGGAGACAGAGTCTCATTTTGTCACCCTCAGTAGAATGCCCTGGCATTACTGCTCACAGCAATCTCAAACTCTTGAGCTCAAGCGATTCTCTTGCCCCAGCCTCCGATGCAGGTGGGACTATAGGAACCCACCACAATGCCTGACTATTTTTAGAGATGGGGTCTTGCTCTTGGCTCAGGCTGGTCCTGAACTCATGAGACCAGGTGGTCCACCCACCTTGGCCTCCCAGAGTACTAGGATTATAGGCGTGAGCCATGGCACCTGGCCCAAAATATTAGATTAACACTAAAAGAGGAACAGGAAGCACAGCTGTCAAACCAAATTTGACTTAGGTCCTGGTTTTGCTAGTTAGTGTGACCCTCCTACAAATCCCTTCTCTACAGGCCTCAGTTTCTTCATATAAAAGTGAAAACAGAACCACGTTTTCCTCTATGTTCCTTCTGTCTGAATCTATAAGGCAGGCAGTGAGCTGGACCCACAGCAAACAGCATAACAAAGCAGTCCAGGCAAACGTCATTCGCCTTCTATTAAGGCAAGATGTGTGCCCGCCTGTCCTCACTCAAGGTATGTGGTGTCTCCGTCTCCCTGCTGCACAGATGCTGGCCATTATGACACTGCTGTGGTCCAGGCTAGCTGACCTGTCCTCTCTTTCTCATGTAGGGGTTCCCAGCTCCCACAAATCCCTGCTCAGCTGAAGTCTTTCAAATACATCTTCCTTAATCCCATTCCTCCTCCCTCTCTCAGAGTTTTGCGTACTTTACCTCTCACTCACTTAATTCTTAAATAAAATGTGCATTAAAACAAGTTTAAAACTAATGAATCCAAAAAACAAACAAACAAAAAAAACTCCAAACCAAAAAACTAATGAATCCATAGCACAGACAAGGTAAGGCACTTATTTAGAAGTGAAATAAAAAAAAAAAACTAGCACACAGAAACAGTTACCTTCAAAGTATTAAAAACATCTCATAAAACAAGAACAAGACAACTGAATAGAACAGACGGTGAACAGGCAATTCACTAAAAACACAAAATGCTCACTCTCTAGAAATCAGACAAATGCAGACTAAAACAAGGAAATACCAACTCATATCCAGACTGGCAAAAATAAACGCCTGCCAGTTCTAAACATTCATGAGGCCATGAGGAACTCTCATCATCTGCTGATAGATAGATCTAGATACTGATACCCCCACTTTGGAGAATAATTTAGCAACATCTAATAAAGTTGAAAATGTGCCCACTTCCTGAATTAGCCCTCTTGATATACAATGACATACACACACACAAAAGGACACCCCTTGCAGCACTGTCTGTAAAGGAATTTGGAAATAATCTAAATGACAGAGTGGAGCAGATTTAATATATTTATGCAATAGAATGGCATATAAGAGTTAAAAGTTAATGATCAGAAGTAGATCTATGTGTTTCAACAGGTTGCATCCCCCAAATACAATGTATTACAAAATGTGATGTGCTGTATTTTATGCAAACTAACCTCCTCATTAGATTCCGTTTATGTAGGACACAAAATCATAAAACACAGACTACAAATATAATGAATTCATGACAGTGCTTGTCCCTGGGGAGGAAGAAAGAGGGATGGGCAGGGAAACAAGAAAATTCAACTTTAACTGTAATGGCTTACTTCTTAAAAATAAAAAATAATCTGGAGCAGTATGTCGCTATGTGTTAATTTTGAGTGGTAGGGCTCGGTGCCTGTGGCTCAAGTGGCTAAGATGCCAGCCACATACACCTAAGGTGGCGGGTTAGAATCCAGCCTGGGCCTGCCAAACAACAATGATGGCTGCAACCAAAAAATAGCCAGGCGTTATGGCGGGTGCCTGTGGTCCCAGCTACTTGGGAGGCTGAGGCAGGAGACTCGCTTGAGCCCAGGAGTTGGAGGTTGCTGTGAGCTGTAATGCCACGGCATTCTACCCAGGGGGACAGCTTGAGGTTCTGTCTCAAAAAAAAAAAAAAAGAAAGAAAAAAATTTGAGTGGTGGGTCCAGAGGTGTTTGTTAAGTCACACATGCGCCTTATGTGTATTAACATTTTTCAAAATGAAAAAAAAAAAAAAAACCCAAAAAACCTAACCCAAGTATATCACACTCTAATAGCCTTCAAATTTCCTTGGATTTCCTTATCCTTAAGAAAAATCAATTTATCATTTTTAAATTAAAAATAATTTTCAAGTACATTTCATCATACGATTCCAGTTATAAAAGTACATCTTTCCTTTTACTTTATTAAATATCTATATTTTAGGCACCTATGAGCAATATAGGAGGTGGTGGATTCACTCAGAAACTTGCCACTAATTCTGATCTGTGAAGTGACAAGCTAGCCCACCACTGAAAGAATCTGTTCTCAGGCCTTTTCTTCCTGTTCCAACACTGTATAGAGAATTAAGCAATGGCAACTTCTCAGGGAGGGTACTACCACTTTCATATAGACTCCAGGAATATTCCAGTTCCTGGGCCAGCGTTTGAAATTCATAAGACAATGCCAACTGATGAATTATAAAAATAGACATAACAAGTAAAATGGGCTTCTAGAAAGAACTTTTCAGATAAATTCATTTTTTCAATTAAGTGGGACATGTCCTGAAACCTGCAACCCAGCTCAAAGTTCAGTATCTTTTTTTTATGGTCACAAGTCTCGGTGATAAATAGCTCCCATGAACGTCTGCTTAACACGCTGAAGCACCTACTTGAAAAACACTCAGCTTGTTACCAAGTTGTCCTGGACTCAATCCATAGAGATGGTTATAGGGCTGTGCGTGGGCAATTTAGAAACTTCAGTTCCACTGACATCAGCCAAAGTCATGAGATTAAAACCTTATTCTCTGTTTTGGAAAACAGACAATTACCAATAATATAAAAATGAAGAAAACTCTAATACATTTTCATACTCTTTGCCACAAACGATACCATGTTATTAGGAATATCAAAGAGAAATTATCTAGTCTTTAAAAAATGTATTTATTTGAAAGATTTCCTAATAGCACTAAGCAATATGCTTTTATTTTTCAGAACTCTTCAAAGGTCTCAGCAACATGGTTTATGAGAACCAGAGCTGACCTCGAATTATACTACTCTGAACTTCAAGACAAACAGCCCAGCCTTCAACTTTCCTACAAGGAAGGCTGCATCGAACAAAAGAACATGAAGCTAAACCCACATGACTGGGAATTATCATCTACCTGTTGCTGCTTTTTTGTTAACCCATCACAGACCTTTGGCACACTGTTTTATACTAAACATTCTCTTTCAGCAGAAAAATAAACCATTAGAGAGACTAACTTAAGAAAATCAGCTTTACAAAATGGTGAGAGGAGTGGTCATGCCAAACCGAAACGCTAGCACAGAACATCAAAGGACTGCCTCCAACAGGAAAGAGTCACCTCACTGAGTGAGTTCTGCGTGTCCAGCCCCAAAGACATGGGTCCTCCGATAACTCAGTCCATTCCTCATCATCAGGGAACGTGCTGAGGCAGAATTCTATCTGTTCTACTCGGGACAGATCTGAGCAGCAAAATCTACTTGGAAAGAAATGTACAACTTCCTATTATTTCAACCTTAACCATAAATATGAAAATAAAACAAAAAACAAATATGAGCAATTCAGAATGCATACTCCAAAATTCTTTGTGCAGCTTCTTGTTTAAAAATCCTTAGGGAGTGTAAGACATTGCCTGGTCTGGGTAATGCTTATATGCAAAAGGCATGCGGAATGTTCTTGGCAGCTGGTGTAATAACCACAGTGCTGCTGTAAAGAACAAGAGGAAAGCCACAAAAAAGAGCCAAAGCATCGTAACTGAAGTACCCACACCAGCAGTTTTCATAAGAATACCGGTAAACAAAAATGAAACAAAATGCAAGTGTTCTACTTGAAAAAGAATGGATTCTTTTCACCTTTCTCCTAAAAAACAAAC